TAACAGATAAAGTTCTGAAGTTTGCAAATGGGGTAATAATGGAAATGAATGTAGGATTATCCTTGTGCTCAGGCCACCTCACTCCTCCACATTCCAGTGTGCTTTCAAAGTGGGACAAAGGCTGGTGCAGCCTCAGCAAGGTGTAGAGGAAGACAAACAATCTGCAGCCCATCTTCTCTCTCTGCGCCAGGGGACTGGGTGCACATGGGTTTCTGCAGGAAAAGTAAGGGAAACCACAGCTCCAAACTGAAGGGACAACAGGGGAGGAAATGATTTAAATGACTAAAGAGTGGAAAAGGGTATGTATGCTCCTATAACAGAATAATATTTCATATTCACAGCAGAAGTTTCTCCAGCTGGAGAAAAAAAATAACATGGACATTTTCATTCTCAGTCTTCTTTCTCTCATTAGCATCAAGAAGCCAAGTTCAGATCTCCCCCAAAATAACAACCACCACGAAAGTCAAGCTATTTGTGCCCACTAGAGAGAGATGGGAAGCACCATGTTCATGCCACAGCCTGTCAAACGCTATCAAGATGGCCAGGAAAAGAAAAGGACCTGCTAAAATCTTTGTCGTTAAATAAATATTTCTCACGAATGAACAGCTTGCTAAGGCTAGATAAGCAGCATGAAAAGCAGAAACATGCTTCTGTTTGTTTATTCAGAGAATTGTTCTTAATAATTCATTTCCTTACAATTTTCATAAGGAAATTGCCATCTCTGGCCCGTCGACTGATTGTGAAAGGTCTGCCATATTTTACGGTGTTAAGTTGTCCTTTTCCTTCCTTAATCTTTACATCTTGCTTGTTGGTGAGCACTTTGGGCCACTGTCTGCTCATTAAGTCAATGAATCTAATTAGGTTAGTTACTCATTGCATGTCATATTTACAAACTGGATGCGGATCCCAGGGAGACACCCTCCAGCATAATGCTTCTGTTCAGGGGCAGCCATGCCTTTCTCCACTGAAGAAATGCCTCAAAGCAGTGCCGTTTTAGTGTGTCACTTGGTGCATGAATGACAAATTCCTGTTACTCTCTGGTATCAAATAATAATTTTTTTTAAAAAATATCAAGGCAACTTTTAAACTCTTCCTATTTTTTTTTTTAAATGACTGCACTGCTTTTACAGGTATTTTGTCCCAAATTACTTTTGTTAGGGATTAATATTAAGAAGTACTCTCAACCTTTACCCAGTTATCCTCTGAATTTCGATTTGTCTTTTCAATGTGAGATGAAATTTTAAAAAGTGATTTTGCTTTTTTCCCCCCCTCTTGATCAAGTTTATATATATTTGCATTGTAGAAACCATTGAAAAATACAGAAAATGTAAATAAAAAAATGAAAGCTCCTTTAGTCAATGTGAGAATTTTAAAAGCATATATGGCTGAATGTTAAAGTAGCTTTTAGCATTTAGGTAATTTGATTAAATTGTGGATAGTCCTCAGTGAATAAATTCTATACTCCAGAAATGATTCCTAACTATCTCCCTATGCCATTGTTTTTACCCTGTTACTTGTTTTAAAAAGTCACATGACTATTCTCTGTTGCAAAAATATCAGTCTCCGCTGAGAAATGCCATCAGATGCTTTTCTGTAGATTGTAGTATAGAATGTCTTTCCTTAGAGAACCACTGCTGTTACTACTACCATCCTTACAATGGAAGGAAGAGGTGATGATATTCTAGAACCGAAATGCTTCAGAAGAAGAACCATGTAGAAACACAGTAGCATTTACCACTTGAAGAGATCAAAAGAAATTAGTGAATTCGAGCAGCAAACAGGATTGTTTATACCTAATGACTAAGATCCATAACCCTCACCAGCCATAGTTGTAGCAAACCTTATTTCAAAAGGGTGTGATAGATAAAATGGACAAACCGTTCTTGTCTTTCTCACTTTCCTCGATAGTGGCAAAATTTAGTCTTATGACACTCTTCATATGGCAAAGTGGCAGGACAATTGTTTGCATCTCATGTTTCTACATATATCAGGACGGATGCTGAGCTGCAGTTCCAGTCCAATTCTAACATGCTCAAACAAAGGAAGGCAAGAAATAGAGTGAGGAGGAAGGAAAGGATCAGCTAGTCTTTATTGCTTTATAAACTTAGTGTTCTAGAGGGAAGGAGGCGGGCGCACAGTGTGTGATCAACTCTTTCTTTATAACGGGGAAATTCCCACAATGGAAAGCGTGCATCCTGGCGAGGGAAGGAAATAATCTGTCCACCTCTCTGCCTAGGGAAAGAATGATCTGTTGCCAGGGGCTGGATGAACTCCGTGCCTCCTGGCCAACTGCCAACCTATGCTCAGGAAGGGGCAGGGTTCTGATCTGGAGAGCTGCAGCATGCAGGGGTGAATGTAATGTCTAGAGACTTGCATTTCTCAAAGTGTTTGGGTGACAGTACATTTTCCTGGCCGAGTAGCAGCTCTGCAGCCTCTCCTCATGAAGTTTTCCTGTCTAAGAGAGAAAGCCCCAGCCCTTGAGAGGCAAAGCAGCATAGGAAAGAACAGAAACATTGCTTTCCCCCCTGTTCACTTACAAGAATGCTATGTGACCTTGGGCCAATTACTTCAACCCTCTGGGTCTTTAATTTTTGTAAGGAGACCTTTCCCCGCTCTAACATTCTGATTCTCCTTGTATGTGGCTCCGTAAACTCAGAAATGCTGCCTGGCCCTGTGAGTCCTATTGAAGAAACTGATTGGTTTCTGTCTGCTGCTGCTTGGTTTCTTCAGGTTCCTTAGGAGCCTACAGACTCCAGGTTTTATCACAAAAGCACATATACATACCACTGATTCATTGTTTTCTTATTCTCTTTTTTTTTAATTTTTATTTTTTGGGGGGGTACTGGGAATTGAACTCAGGGGCACTCAACCACTGAGCCACATCTCCAGCCCTATTTATTATTATTATTATTATTATTATTATTATTATTTTGTATTTTATTTAGAGGCAGGGTCTTGGGGAGTTGCTTAGCATCTCACTTTGGCTAAGACTGGCTTTGAACTCTCTATCCTCCTGTCTCAGCCTCCTGAGTCGCTGGGATTACAGGCATGTGCTACCGTGTCTGGCTCTTATTCTCTTGTACTCACAGCAATATTAATGCTAGCCTTTCTGACTGTGGAGGCAATGACAACAACAACAACACAATGAAAATAGAAGCTGCAAGAGAATAACTGCAATGAAGAAGTGACAAATCACTCAACACTTGCTGTTCAATTCTCCTTTCTATCTGGGTGGTCAGCAGCCTTCACTCTTCAAATGAGAAGGTTGCCAAATTTTTTCTCCTTTTCATGTTCTGATTAGTAAATGGTGGTCTCATTTAATCCAATGCCTCAAACCAGAGACCAGGAGACAGCTTGAGCCCTATCTGTCTGTCAGTCATCCTGTCCAATCCATCACCAAACCCTGAAGAGTCGGTCGGTCCACTTCTCCCTATCTCCAACATGCCAAGCCTTGTCCAGCCCCCATCATCATTTACTGAGCTACCGAAGTAACTTCCTGACAGTCTTTCCACACCCCCTGCTCGCTCTGCCTGCCGTCCCATTTCCCCACAGCAGACAAAGCAATTTTTCTAAAACATGAATTGGATCACTTTGGTCTCATGCTTAAATCTCTAAGGGGTCTCCTATTGCACTGAATATGATCATCTTCGCTTTGGTAAACAAAAAATCCCACATGAACTCTGCAGCCTCTTCTCCCACTCCCATCTAGACCTGCCTCACTCCTACTCACCCTGAGGCTCTCTGTTTGAATGTCATTTCCTCAAGCCTCTCTTGATTCACTCCTCCCCTTTTATGATCATCAAGAATTATGTGTTTAGTCGTTCACATATTTATAACCCCCTCCCCTCCAAAGATTTCTTGCCTTTCTTGCTGCAGGGCTCCAGTGCCCACTACAATGGCCAGGCCACTGTGAGCAAGGATTTGTTGACTGAGTGGTCAGGCGACAGCCCTTTACTGAAAGTTCCCATCTGATTATTTTATTTCCATACTAAAAAGGTATTAGCAGAAGCAACAATGCAGAGGATATGCTCTTTTTAAGTTTTTCACTTTTGTACTAGATCTCCCTATGAAGAGATTTTTGGTTTAGGCCCAAGCAGGCCTCATTTGAAAATAGCCATCTCGTCTTTACTTGGACGTGGAGAGAGTTGAAGATCTTGCCAGGGGTAGGATTATCTTTAAGACATTTGACAGGGTGGTCTACAGCAAGGGCTTTGGGTCACTCACTACTGAGGTTTGAGTCTTGGCTCTGCCCCTTTCTAATTCTTATCTTTAGGTAAAGAATTTGGCCTCAGTTTCTCCAACTGGAAAATGGAGATAATAATAGAATCTCATATATTGTCTTCTGGATCCAATGAGGTAAAAAATATAAAACAACACAGTGCTTGACACAGTGGGGTTCTTGATAAACAGGAGTTCCTACTAGTATGTTTTATTCAACCTCAGAAGGAAGTTCAAATCCTGAGCTCTAGGGTTGGGGAACTTCTGGGGCAGTATCTCCTCTTGACGTGTCGGCTATCCTGTGCTCCGTGGTAGTAAGCAAAAATGTCAGAATTCAATTACCTGAAATTATTCACTTGATGTTATAAGAAGATCTGAAATTTACAAGCCAATAGTATAAAATTGCTGATGACCATTATACTAACTTTGACAAGATGAATTGAGTTTAGGAATAACTAATAATATTTTAAAGCAATGCCACTCTTTCCTGGAGACTTGGTGTGCTGGCATTTGGTGACAGCTTAGTAGAGAGCCTTCGTAGGCAGAGAGTAGGTGATATTAATCTTCTAAACAGAAACCCAGGGTACCAAGAAGATCTTAACATTCCACTCCTACCGTCCTCCCCCACTTCCCGGATCCGGCAGCGTGGGTTTTAGATAAGAAGCCCATCCCCAGGCTCCGTGTAGGTGGTGGAGTGGGAGGAGGTGAAATGCAAGCTTTATTTTCCCAGCTGCCTGTCATCCAATTCTCCGCGTTTCTCTGACTTTCATGAATGATGAGGTCATCCTGGGCTCAGGAAAATCAAACTTCTATTTTTTTCGAACCCAATAAAGGCCAGTATTGTAAGTCTGTGTAAACAGAGGCCAGACGGGTAGGGAGCCGGGAAGACAAGTGGTCCGCCCTCTGGCGGTCGCACGAGACAGCGTGTCCCGCGCTCCGCCGAGCTGCGACAGCAAGGCGGGGAGGATGCGGGCTGAAATGTAAGTTAAAATTAGATCAATAGTCAGCTTGGCTGTCTCAATCAATGCTTCGCAGGGAGAGCATACAACCATCTATTTATAAGCTAAACCCGGCATTATCTTCCGCTTTTAGGACGCAGAGATCCATTACTGCGCGCGGCAGGGGAGAGGATGCTGCGAGGAGCTGGTGCGGGCCACATGGCAGCCTTACCAGCTCGCCCCGACTTCACCAGCCTCTGACGGGATCCGCGCGGGGGTGGACATTGGGAGGATCCAGACCAGCAGTCTGCAGCCCCTCTGCTCTCTGCAGGGCTCTATCCCTGGGCGTGCCCCCTAAGGACTCACTCCTGCCCATCTTACCTCGATGACATCCTCAGTCTTTATGCAGAGGGGGGCAAAAAAGGCAAATGAATTAAAAACAGCATGAGGGCTCCCCTGCAGATTAGGGGCTCACAGTGGCCAGTTCCAACTATAGACTTGATTGCCTTTTGACAAAGATTTCCAACCTAGCTTCCTCAAGGTACTGCATTACTCAGTCCCTGCTCAGGCAATTGTTGCTGTAAATAGCTGTAGTCCCCCTCCTTCCCTGTGGAAACACGGATGGAAATGAATTTGCAGCAGGGACTCTGCATAATACTTAAGGTCTTGGTGGGGAGATGGATGTGCCCTCTATCAGCTCCTGACATACTAGGACATCTGGGCATTCCCAGGCCCGTTTGCCCCAATGATGGAAATCATCTCTGATATATGAAAAACGTCCACAGCTAGCATTTGTGTTAACATTGTTAAATTGTTTTCAGGTTTTGAAAGATGCTACGGAAAAAGAGGCAAAACCTGATACAGCACCACCCCCAACACAAGATCAAATCGTAGTATTTCTTTGGGATAAATAAGCATTCTCTTCTTACAAATGCATATGCATATAGCCTCTTTTGTATTATAGACTTACATTCTTAAATTGTTGCTCTCCTTTATTTGACAACTTTCTTTAATAAACATCTACTATTTTTATAATAGAAAAAAATGTTAAAGACCTAAAGAATTTGAACATGTAGCCTAAATGTACATTAGATATATTTTTAGAATTAATTTATTAACTGCTCTATCATTTGACATAAAAGGCTTTTGAACTAAAGATAGAAACGGAAGCATTCTTTATTTAGAAACAAACTTTCTCCTCCTCTTCCAATTTTTGCTGGCTTACCTCCAAAACACCCTGCATCTGTCCCTTTCTCAGTTTCCCACTGCCTCTCACACAGTTACCAGCCGTCACACATTATCCTTCACCTGGATTCTGAAAATACCATCTTGTCCACATTTTCTGGCTCCACCTTCTCCCCACTGCGGTCCTCACTTGCCATGTAGAAACCAGACTGTTCTTTTAAAATGAAAAGTCAGAGCCTATCTCTTCTCCTTACATAAAACCTTCCATGGCTTCTCACGGCAGCTCCCTTAAAATCCCAATTCTTCACCATGGCATACCATCTGGCTCCAACTTGCCCTTGCTTCTCTCCCTGCAGAATCATTTTCTCACTTTTTTTTTCATAGCACATTTTTCACATAACCCCTTCTTTGTGATCCTCAAGCCCACCAGCTTGCTCACCTCCCAATCTGAGCTCTTGCTATTGGCTCTGTGCTAAACATCCACTCTCAGAAAGTCTTAAATCTGCCTCGTTCTCATCATTCTTGTCTCAGCTCAAATATGAAAGACCTTCTGCCCTTCCAAAACTTGTTGTTGCCTTATCTTATTGCAACACAGCAATTAACTAGAATTGCTTTGCTTATCGAGGAAAATATCAGTGTAGGCTCTGCTTTCACACTTCAGGATGTCAGCCCCACAAATAGAGGTCCTTATCTTTCTACTATCTGTGGGTTCTAGAATAGTGCCTGTTCATAGTTGGTATTCAATAAATATTTATTGAATAAATTATTGAGTGTGATTTCCTGGTATGTAGTCTATAAATTCCACTAATAGCACTCTGCATATTCTGCCTTGAATTTTTAAATTATTTTTATGCCCATATGCTTCCTCCTTTCAAGTGTGAACTCTGTGAGGCTGGATCATATTTAGTTCATAATTTTATTTTCCATGGCCTTATGGAGTCTGGCACATTACAGGGAGTTTAATATATTTGTTGGATCAAATTGCCATAAATGAATTGATAATGAGGTGATACAATATGACTTTCCCTCAGGTCTAACCTTTCACCTGGGAAAATGAAAAAAAAAATCGCAATATCCAAAGAGACAGATCGTTACATTGGTCCTATAACATCACACACACACACACACACACACACACACACACACACACACATTTGTTTTCAGTATTTCCAAAGAATGTAGAATGTTCATATCTGTTATTTTATTTGATCTTCATACCAGCTGGTATGTAGAAACAGAAGCTCAGGGGCATTAATCGACCTGGCTCGAGCTTGTACAACTAATATGCAGCAGAGACAGGGGTTGGGCCTGCTAATTTCAACTAACCACAAACAGGCACACATAAAAGCACACCCACATATATTCCCACATTTGCCAATATCCTCCCTCCTCACCCATACTTCTGGTTTTGTTCAAATGGTATCATAATCAAAGTTCTATAAATGGGTTCTGGCATCTTCATCACAATTGCCATAATCTTCCCATTCTGATGAAGAATGAGTCTATCTCTATTTTATTCTTTTTCTTGCTAGATCAATCTCCAGAATCTTCCTTATTGTTAAATTTTAATATGTAATATTAATTGGAAATTTTCACAGATCTGAGCAATATTAAGTGGGTATTTGCTAATTGGCAAACTACTCCTCTTTTAACCTTTTCTCTGAACACAAACCAATGAGAAACACTTATGAATACCAACCAGCTCCTATCTTAGCTTAAGTCAAACAGCTCAGTGTCACTGAGAAAATGGCATATACGATGCCAAAGCTTATCAATCATAAGCAAACAGTAAACAGCACAGCCAGAAGGGACAAGTAACGTACAAAATTAGTTCTGCTCTAGACAAAACAAATGGGGAGCCTATTCTGATCATCCATCCACTCATTCATTCATTCATTATTTGTGGAGTGTGTTTTAGGTGCCAATGATTGTATTACTTTTGGGAATAGAGGAAAGCAAAAATAGATGAGGTCTCTGCAGAAATGGATCTAGTGGAAAAGAAGACTTAAAGAATCACTCTGCAGAGATAAATGCTAAGAGAGGGCAAAATAGGAGGAATTGACATAGATCAGAAAATTTAGGGGAGAATCCCTTGAGGAAGAGGTGACTAGATTGAGCAGTGTTTTGAGTTTTGATATGGCTCAAATCTCTAATGCTTACTAAAGGAGAAAGTGAAAGAAATGATCAGATAAGTAAATAAAAATGGTGACTAACTTTTAAATTCTTTCATTTAATAAATATGTTTTTAGAACTTACTATATGCAAAATAGTTGGGTAGATGCTTGGGGTTAGAATAGTGATCAAAGGCTAAAATCCCTGTCCTTATGGTCTTACATTATAATGGAGAAGGTGTACAAGGAATGCATACATAATTATAACAAAAGAACGTTAGAGACAGATTTCTGCAAAGGACACAGGTAGGTAAGGAAGTGGGAGGGGTGGGGTAGTAAGGTACAGTCTTATGCAGAGCAGACCTGCACGACCTCATTAAATCACATACCTGAGCAAGACTCAGCAGTGCTAAAGGAGCCGATCTAAGAGGTAGTGTGGGTGACTGCAGGGGGAAGACCTCTCTAGAGTGTGGATTCTACAAAGACAATAGCTCTGCATAGCAGTGTAATCGACTTGTCCTGTGCTTGAGAAAGTGGTATAAGATTCAATATTTTTATTCTAGCTCTTCGAAGATGTTATACCATTGTCTTCTGGCTTCAAAGTTCCTGTTGACAAGTCGACTATTAGCCTTGTTGTTACTTTAGATGTAATATGCCTCCCTTTCCCCTCAGTGGTTCTTTTCATATTTTTTTCTTTGTCTTTCATTGTCAGCACTTTGAATCTGATGTGCCTAAAAGTATTCTTCATTGTCATAATCCTTCCTGGTGTTATTTATTCTTGTGTCTTGTCATCTTTAACAGTTTTAGAAAAATTTCAGTTGTTATCTCTACAACAATTCTTCTTCCCACATCCCCTCCTCTCCTTCTGAGATGTCAATTGTACATGTATTAGGTCTTTTGAATACATACCTTGTCTGTTGTATTTCATTTTGTTCTTTCCATCTTTTTTATTGCACTATTGTGTTTTGTTTGGGGCATTTTACAAAACTGATCTTATCTATGAGTTAAACTCACCCAGTGAGTTCCTAAGTTTAGATATTGTATTTTTTCAGTTACAAAATGTCCATATAATTCTTTTGAACCATTTCAATTTTCTTTCACAACTCTTAATATTCAATACCTATTTAGTTTCCCTTTTTCCTTTAATGTACAAAATTAATTCTGCTGTAGACAAGTTATTTTAATTAATTATTTTAAATTAATTAAATAAATAATCATTTTAAATAAGTTAATTAATTAATTATTTTAAAGTCATTTTCTACTACTTTTCATATTTAAAATATCTATGAGCCTACTTCTATGATTTGATTTTTTTCTGTTCATTATAAGTCTTCAATTCTTTTTTGATGACAGTAATTTTGTGTTGTATTATAGACATTGGGTATTAAAACCAACTCCAAAGAAACAAATAAACAACAAAATCCCCAAATGCTCCAGTGAAATCTTTTGTAGCAAAGGTTTCTCCTTTTCTCTGGTGGCCAGAAAGGCAAATACTGTCCTAAGTATGAGTGTGGATTGCAGGTTTTAGTGCATCTCAGTTCACCTCTGCTTTGTCCCTGTACTTTGCAGAAGTCACTTTTGGGCTTTTGATGGGAAACCTGTTTCCTTAGCTCTGAAAGTTCTGCTTTTTAGAAGTTTTAAACTTACATCACAGATGTCCACTCCACAAAGTTTCAAAATCTGGCAAATGTTTTGAGGAGAGGAACTGTTGTGCATTTATTACACATTCATATTTCTATAGGGACCTGTCTTTTGAGCATTATAGACAATAGGGTATTTTATTTATCTGTCTGGTTTAGCCCCTTTAAGCCTTCTTCACTACACCAAAACATGTGAGAATGAGCCTCGTATTTTATACTCTTCTATTTCGTATTCAGTATATTAGTCCTGTACATTAATCAGAAATTTTACTGGTTTCTTTTTGAGTCATTCTGCTTGGCCCAAATCTAATCTTCAGCTTGTACCTACAGTAGGCAAATGCCCCTTGGGAAGCAAACAGCTGGTGATTATATGCTTACTTAAGAATTTGTAATTATCTAATTCTCTTGTCTTTGCTGATGTTTGTAACTTACCTCTTTTTTTCTTTGTGCCTTAATCTGGGTATTAGCCTATGGTGATTTTCTACATTGTAGCCAGAAGTGAAAGTCCCTCTTGAAAATATACAGAGTTGAAAATTTTGGAGCTGAACCAGACTTTGACATTTACCTAGTGCATCTACTTCCTTGTGCCAACAGAAAAACATGTGCTCAAAATGGTGTAGTGAAGTATTCAAGGTCAAAAACTAATAAGGCAAGAAACTTGGAGATGAGGCAAACCTTGAGGCTTGGGCCTCCTGTTCCAAGTCAACTCTTGAGGAGAATAAAAAGGACAGAAAGAGAATGCACTATGGAAAGGACTTCACCTGATGGAAAATGCTTCTGGAGTGTCTTTGCTATAGGCATCCAAGTGACCTGCCTTCAGAAATTCAATGGAAACCAAGATTGAGGTCTTTCAAGTCAATCGTTAAATCGAACATTTGCTTTCTATATATTTTTCTACTTTGTTTGAAAATAGAACTTAAAATGAATTGCCAGGGGTAAGATAGAATCTGGGGAAGGTTACAAATGAGGCAAATAGGATGATAATGTGGAGGGTAGGGAAATCTACTAGAAATCTGAGACTATTATTCTTGGCAGGTGGATATTCATGGCTGATGAAATTTCAGGGACTACTTATGGTAGGCTCATAAATGACTCTACGTGACAGAGCAGCTGAGACAAAGGTCCTTTGAAACGATAAAACACAAATGTTTCTATTCTTTTTTTACAGGGACTGCTGATCACTTTCACTTTTACTCCATCTATGGTTGTTGAGCTGGTCCAATGTGAGAAAGGAAGGAAAGAGAAAGTTCAACACTAGTGATGAGATGAGCTCTGGAAAAAGACCAGAGACCCATCCCTTCCTGGAATCCCTGCAGCCTTTCATCAACACAGCCAGCTGTACTCAACCTTCACCTCTCATGAGGGATAGGGGAAAAATATTTAAATTTGCAGGAAGTCAAAATCATGAGAAGATATTTGAAAATAAATGAAATTTTGTGTTAATCTTTAATATGATAGTACATTTATTTAAGATTTGTGGTATTTTGTCCTGTTCTTGATTGAAATTTTATGTCTCTCCTCAAGCCTAGGAGGGAGGTTGCTAAGCAATTTAACAATGTAAACAAGTAAGGGGCGGTGTTTAGAATCAACGGGAGGCAGTGTGTTCTGATGTTCTTATTAGAAGAACAAACTGTATTTAAGGATATTATCACATTATTGTCTACATGCAAATGTGTGCTGCTATTTGTAAATTAATCACTTCTCTTTATTAAGGAAGTATGTGTATTTATCATCCTTACAGCAATTCCAGTGATTTAAAAAATCCCCAGTTCTTTAACATTATACACTATTGATGAAAGCTAACATTCCTGCAGTTAGCTTACTGTGAGTCAGGCTCCCTCCTAAGCAAGGAGCACTTTATGCAAGTTATTGCATTTAATCTTTGCAGTGGTTCTATGAGGCAGGAACTAAGATTATTATTTTTAACAACTGAGGAAACTGAGAGTTACCATGGTTAAGTACCTTGCCCAGGTACTTAGACAATCCAATTCAATCTAATCTGAAGGCCCTTGTGCTAATTATTTTGCAATTGTCAGAATGGTCTTTCAATGGCTTCAAAGAAGTGATGCAATATTTCTGTTGCAGTGATGGTCAACCTAGTGGTTTGGTTTCTAAATAACTCCTTTCCTTTTTCCTTAGCCACTTACCTTGGTGACTGTTCTTATCTCTTAGTCAGTGGTAGCCAAGCTGCACTGCCCGAAGCATGAAGCAATTTTTGGAAGCAAGAGTGACCTGGTATGTTCACTAGAGTAGCCCCTTTTACCTTATTAGGTGCGTGATCTAAGGCAGTTAATTTTGGTGATTCTCATCATGAAACTGGAATAATATTACAATTTGCTGAGGGATTGCAAACTTGCTGAGGGAAATGAAATACTCTATGCAAAGTGCCTAG